ACAGGAACAGACTAGAAGATGCAACTCCAGACATATTCAGCCACCTTATATTTGACAGAAAGCCAAACACATACACTGGGAGAAAGATAGTCTCTTTAATAAATGGTGCTGGGAAAACTGGCTCAGCACATGTTGAAGATTAAAATTGGATGTGTATCTTTCACCATGCACTAAACTAAATTCAAAGTAGATCAAAGTTTAAATAATAAGACAGAAATATTAAATCTGCTGGAAGATAGAATAGGTAAAACTCTTCAAGACACTGGTGTAGGTTTTATGAATAAAACCCCAATTGCACAAGAACTATCACAAAGAATCACCAACTGAGATCTCATCCTATTAAACAGCTTTTGCACAGCAAGACAAACCACCAATGGAGTGAAGAGACAACCCACAATGTGGGAAAAAAATGTTTACCAGATGTTCCTCAGACAAAGGTTTACTATCAAGAATGTATAAAGAACTCAAAAAAATCAGACCTCCCAAATTTAAAGACCCAATCCAAAAATGGGCATTGGAGATGAATATACACTTTTCAATGTAGAAATACAAACAGCAAATAAATATATGAAAAAATGTTCAATATCACTCTTCACTCAAGAGATGCAAATTAAAGCAACATGGAGATTTCATCTCACCCCAGAAAATATGGTTGTCATCAAGAAATCAAACAATAACAAATGCTGGAGTGGTTATGAGGAAAAAGAAACTTTTCTTGTTGGTGGGAGTGTAGATTGGTCCAACCACTCTGGAAATCAGTGTGGAGATACCTCAAAAAACTAAGATTGGAGGTCCCATTTGACCCAGCTATTCCCCTTCTGGGTGTCTTCCCAGAAGAATTAAAAACATCATACCAAAGTGATATACGTGCACCCATGTTTATAGCAGCACAATTTGTAATCGCTAAATCATGGAGACAACCCAAATACTCATCAACCAAGGAATGGATAAAAAAGATGTGGTCTTTTTATATAGTGGAACATTACTCAGCCATAAAGAAAGATAAACGAGACTTTTATAGGTAAATGGATGCAACTTGAATCCATACTCAAAAGTGAAATAAACCAGATGCAAATGTGTAAACACCATATTGTCTCCTTAGTGTGAGAAGCTGAAAGAGTAACTGTGGTCCAACATGTACAATAGATACTATAAAATGGGAAGAAACTTCAAAAGGAAAGAGAAACCACTTTAGGGGAATAGGAAAAAAGAAGGAAGGGAAAAACAAAAGGAAAAAACGTGTATATATAATAAATAGTTAAAATACTTATACTACTTATTTCCCTTAGTTTATCAAAAAGGTAGGTTTGTGCTAATACTGTTTGAACAATTAAATGCTGATACCTCATACTCTGAGTATGTATTAATCATTGGTACCCTCCTATCACATTGTTTTGTAATTCAGTTTGTGATGTTTTGAGGTGTTTTTTTCTTTAAAATAAAAATTTAAAAAATAAAACATGACAACAAAATCTGATTGGAAAAGAAAGAAATAGAAAAAAAGCCATGGTTAAGAGAAGAAAAAACAACTCATACCCTGGCAAAAACTATTTGTAAAATACAGATTTGGTGAGGATTAATGTTTAAAATGTACACAGAACTCTTACAACTTAACAGTAAAAATGCAAACAACATGGTTTTAAAATGGGCTAAGGGTCTGGGCACCTTACCAAAACTACAAATAAACAAGTGGCAAATAGAAGGATAATCAAAAGTTTTGTAAGGGCTGGGGATATAGTTCAGTGGCACAGCACCTACTTGGCAAGCACTAGCTCCTGCATTTGATTGCCAGAACCAAAAAAAAAAAGTTTTGTAAATTCAAGCAGGAGTGAAATGCTGTTACACACCCATTAGAATGGTTCAAATCTAAAACACTGACAATATGAAATGCTATCAAAGGTGTGGAACATGGGAACGCTCACTCATGGCGGTGGAAATATAAAATGCTTCAGTCATATTGGAAGGCTGTTTGATGGGTTTTTATAAAGCTACCTGTCGTCTTACCAGAGAAGACGGCAAATATTTTCCTAGATATTTCTCTAAAGTGAAAAGTTATGCACACACACACACACACGCACACGCACACACACACACACCTTACATGAATGTTTACAGTGGTTTATTCACTAGTGTAAGAAAAACTGGAAAAAGTAACCAAGACGTCTTCACTAAGTGATAGACAAACAACTGCGTTGCATCCACCTAATCAAACAATTCGCAGAAATAAATGAGCTTTCAATCCAGGAAATGACATTGAGGAAATTGAAACATATTATGCCAGAAGAAGCCAGTCTAAATATCTTCATACTATATAATCCCAAACATAAAAAGTTCTAGAAAAGTTAAACTTTAGAGATAGTAAACAAAACAAAACAACAACAACAATAAACAGTACTTCCAAGGAGGGGCTGGCAGAACAGGATAAACTGGTGAAGAAAAGGCAAACTTCCAGTGGTGACATGCTTCTGAATAATTCTCTACTGGAGAAGCATGCAGTAATGCATTTGTCAAAAACTGTAAAACACAAAGAATAAACCTTAATGTTAACTGTGAACTTTACTTAATAATTATAATGTATGGCTATTGGTTCTTCAATTCAAGCAAACAAACCACACTAAGGTAAAATACTAGTAACGGGAGAAGTAATGGGGGGGGGGACAGGGAACCTCCAAGAACACTGAACTATCAGCCCAATACATCTGCAAACCAAGAACTGCTCTAAAACATCCGTCCCTTAATTTGTTCTTAAATGCCAGGATGGGGCAGCCACAAATCAAAGTCAGTGGTATCCTGTGATAGCAGGTTCCCTTGAGATGTACCAACCTGGAGTTGGAGATGTTGGTGATGTCTGTGCTTGTGTCCTGAGGGTCGCCCTGGAATCCAGTCAGGTGAGGGTGGCCTCAGTCCTCTGGACAGGGAGACCTAGGACAGGGAAAAAGCCCTTCACAGGGTGAAATTCAGTGAATATTCCAACCACTGCCACTTCCAAGAGCCCCAGCAGCACCAAGATTCAAGGAGGAGGCCAGCAGGGACTGAGGGCTACAGTGTGATTCCTGCCTGAAAGAGCAAGTGACTCCGGACACTTTGGTAAATTTGGAGCAATAATCAGAACTGCAGAAAGAGTTTAGGTAAGGACTATAGGGTCCTTGGGTGAGCTTGAACACTAATTTTTTCTCCCAACAGCCACACTAACGCATTTTACCCCAGAGACAGAATACTCTAAAATCACAGACTGTTCACATGCTGTACAAAAGTCCCCAGCTCCTTTTTCTTCCCTAAAGAAATAAGCAAAACCCACTGGTGCTGCAGACAGTGACACTTCTCCTTGGGTAAGTGTGGTCAGTGACCTGAATGAGTGGCACTGGTGACACCAGACATGGAGCCACTATCTTTTCCCCTTCTCCCCCACTCTCAGAAGCTGCCCCACCGCAGGTGACATTCACAGCATGTGGTCAAGAATTACCCCTGAGCACTTCTTCACCACATTTCACTGGCCTTGCTCACTGCTGGTGCTCCAGGGCCCACCCGGGCTGCAGGTGGGGAGGACATGAACCCTGTGTGCTCCCGATGCTGTGCCGCCCTGTCTTGCCGTCTTCCGCAGGGGACTCAGAACTGAGGTTTTCTACCCGTGCAGCCTCTTACTTAGTGTAGGACCTGGCACCAATAACACCTAGTACATACTGGAAGAAGTCATTCTACCACACATTCCTGAGGGGACCCAGAATGCCACTCTGGCCTACCAGTTTTTAGTTGCAGATGGTTCCAGAATTGGAGGGTGTGAAAGGCTTTCAAAAGTGGATGTTCTTCGCCAGGAATGGTGACATATGGCTATAATCCCAGGTACTCCAGAGGCTGCAGCAGGAGGATGGCAAGTTCCAGGCCAGTCTGGATAGCATAGAGAGACCCTGTCTCAAAATAAAAAATAAGAACTATGGTAGAGTATCCTCGGCTTGTACCCCTGATAATTACAAAAATGGCTGTTCTTTAAAGCTTTTATACTGAGTCGCACCAAGCTTCCCTGGAAATATCTAGGGGGCACATCTGAAACTGCACTGGGCTTCTCACCTTGGACGGTGCAGTGGCCTTAGCCTGGGGGAATGCTGGTGAGTGTGGAAGGGGTGAAACAGAGAAAGTGAAGCAGAGAAAGCAGGTGGGCATGTGGAATGAGGGTGGGGACAGAGAGTAAGTGAAAGGGGATGTTGGAGGGGGGAGGTTAAAAGGGTAAAAGAGAGAGAGAGAGCAAAGAGCAAGACAATTAGCCAAAAGGACTAAATCGGAAAGAAAACACTATCCACTACTTAGATAAACAACTCACACCTGATCACAGGACTGGAGACTCTGGGAGACCGAGACCATGGTGATGAAGAGAAAGTGTGACCTTTGGTTTCACTCTGAGACATAAGAGAACTCTGTTATCCCCAAGGCCTGCAGGGCCTGTCGTTTTAGCTCTATGGATTTGACCGCTCTCTACTCTGTGTGAGGCAGCTCGTGTCCCATGGCATTAGGACTGTTCAAGGTGCAGAGACTTGGCCGAATGCTGTCCAGTGCTCAAGTCAGCCAACCAAAAGGGTGAAACATGGAAGAAGGAGAGATGTCAACCTGGGGGGAGGGCAGAGCCACGAATGTGCCTCCTTGCTACCCTCAAAGTTCCTGTATTTGGGTCTATGAAATAAGCTGACAAACTGATCAGGGAAAAGACTAATTTACTACATGAATACACATGAGACTCTCACAAAACCTAAGACTCAACCAAGAGCAAAACAATTAAGGTTTATGTAGTATTCTCAGCTACACAAAGAAACAGGGGTGTCAGCTTCTGAAGGGAGTGCTGACAGAGGACAGCAGGTGAGGGAGGAGTGCCCAGGGAACAAAGGTCGTTGTGCAGCACAGATAAAGTCTGCCAGGTAGCAGCCTTGACAGCAGGCGATAGGCCATGCCAGCCTCACCAGGCTGGATGTGGACCATTCGTCTCTTCTGCTGTGGTATAAGCCAGTCTCCCCTGTTGATGAGATACCTAGGGAAGGGATTCGTGTCCACTGGTTAATGTCTGGCAAGAAAACCTCAAATGCCTTCAAGTAATCATCCTACCACACCTTCATACTGCCAGGTATTGATTTCTGAGTTACAGCAGAAGAAAAGAGGAAGAAGCAGAGCATCTATGAGATTGCAAGTGGAAAACAGACTGTCATCAGGGCACAACCACTGTAAATGCCACAGAAAAATTTATGAACAAAAATGACAGGGATGATGAGAAAGATGAATATAGCAATGTCATGTAAGATGGAGTCAAGAGGGAAAGGTCCCGCACAGTCTGAGGGAGAGATGAGCAGGGCCTGAAAACCAGTAAGACAATCAGTTCCAGGAGTCGGGGCAGCAGAAATCAGTCAGCAGCAGAGTGCAGGTGAAGAAGCCACAGCCCCTTCCACCAGCCATGTGGGAGAGATTTGTCAGTGACGGGAAAATAGAATTATATCTTAAAAAGAAAACAGGGTCTAACAAAGCCTTTCACTCTCCTTAATTTTATCAGTTGTCTGGGAACATTAAAATGCAAAAGGTAAGGAGACTGTAGGAGGTGAGACACAGAGAATGAGTCTCAAAGCTAAGGCAAGAAAGCATAAATGGAAAGGTCAGGCTCAGCAGGGATCACAACAGCATCTCTTCTGAAGATGGGGAGGAGTAGAAAATCACCCTTGGAACCAAGAGAGAGGAAACGTGAAAGAGCTGCTACCAGACAATACTGATTTTCACAAGGCAATAAGAAAGATGCTTATCGTTAGAGAGAAAGGCAAGGAGACAAAAATATGTAAGAACACATGCAGGGATTGTCTAGTAAAAGAATACAAGTTTCATCAAGACCTTACCAAAGTTAACTAAAAGAAGTTGAGAGGGTTAAAGCTTTCACCATCAGTGTATCTCAGGTACCAAGCTGACAGCAAGAGATAATAATAACACAGAACACAAAGGAAGACAGAAAGGAGAAGAGAATCTGTGAAGTGGGAGATGGGAATGCAAACATGGTCTGAGAATAGGGTTCAGGGGCCAAGCAGGAAGAAAAGTCAGGACTGAGCAATGGCACAACACAAACTGTAAAACGTCAATCAGCAGAAAGTTTCACTGCAATAGTCCCAGTTTACATTAGTAATTAGGAGAAACATCCTTCTCAATTAAAGAGTTATCCTAAGCCTAAGAGGTGCAGTGCATGAGAGGAGCAGATGCGCTCAGACTGGGACAGGTAACCACTAATGAGGATGACTTGCACAAAGACCAAGTCTAAACTCCTGAAAGAAATGGTTTTCATCTCCTAAGGACCATGGAAAGGTTATTGCCAGGAGGAAGCATCAAGGTCACCAAGCACGCAAGAGCTCTGGCACAGGGCTGGGGCAGCACCACCCAGGATGCCCGAACGCTCCCTCTGCTGCTCCACCTTGCATGATCTGAGCACTGCAAGCAAGCCCAGCCCCTCTTTCCTGCTGTGCCCCTTCTGAGCTTGCAACTGACAAAGGCTCATGATGTGCTAACTTTAAAGAACGACAGTGAAAGAAACGCTACACATTATCACTTGGCATATGATGAAAGATGAACAAGGAGCTCAGGGACAACAAACTGACAGCCAGCACCACATTCAACAAGGAACATGATTCCATAGCATATTAATGTGTTCTAAAATGAGTTCTTGGAATTTTCTCAGATGAGCTGAACTGCATTTCCACAAGGACTTGCGTAGGAACTATAACATACATGCTTCACAAAGACTAGTGGGGTTGGTTCACACACTTGCCAAGGTTGGACGGAAACAAACTGAACAGCACCACCTGAGGGTAGCATGGTGCTGAGGGAAGAAACCAAAGAAACTATCTCTCTCCTTCTGTTGTGGCCTCCGGTAGCTAGCAACCTATGTCTGTGGTTTCAATTGAATAGCAACCCGTGACCATTTTGCAGTGGAGCATAAAATCGGCACTAGAAAGTCCAGTCAGTCTCCTACTCCCCTTAACCACTGCTGTTTCTGCTTCTGTAACCTCGCCGGCACCAATGCGAGGCTGCCGCATACAGTACAAATGGTATAAAAGTGAAAACAAAGCCCTGTTTGGGGTTCTCAGGGTGCCGTGAATCTCTTGCAGACCCGCCAGCAATAAAAGCCGCTTCTTGTTCCTACTTTGCATCCGAGCGCTGTGTCCGGGATCCCAATTCATTTCCTACTTCAGTGCCAAAGACAGTATTAGCCCTTGCATTTTCAAGGCATTGCACAAACTCTGCGAGATATGAATAGAGGTATGATTATCCCCATTTGGCACAGTAGGAAACTGAGTCAGAGGCTAGAACTCATCTCCTGACCAGTGCAATGGTTGGTTCACCGCACTGCCTCTCTCTTTTTCAAAGCTCTGATTCAATTCCCTCTCCATGCAGAAAGACAGTCGACCAGGTCAGACACCTTTTCATAATTCTGAGGAATCTGTAGCATAGCTTTCTCTCATGCCTAAAAACAGTGAGTCTAACTTCCTCAGGCATCAAAATCACCTAAGGGTTTGATCACTGAGCCCCACTCCCAAGGTTTCTCATTCAGTAGGTCTGGACAGGGACCCATACGTTTTGCATTTCTAACAAGTTCAAATGCTGCTGCCAAAGTTGCTGGGCAGATGACTACAATTTGGGAACTCTTCCTCTGGTTTTGTTTTTTTGTTTTTTTTTTTTTTTTAGTTTTTCGAGACAAGGTCTTGCTATACAGTCCAAGCTGACCTGGACACTAATATATAGTCCAACCTGGCCTAGAACTCACTGTGATCTTCCTGCCTTAGCCTCCCAAGTACTGGGAGTACAGGTGTACTCACTACACCTGGCCAATTTGGGAACTATTGATTTAGAAGATAGTAAATGCACCATCTGCAACCTAAGGTTCAAAACTGCAAGTCCAGTATAGTGTATACCAAATGCTGACTTCCTTAGACAAAGACTCCCCAACAGGCAAGTCTTCCTTTTGTGGATGTGCAGGGGCCTAATAACAGATTGCTTTCCAGTAAGGCAAACAGATGGTTTTTCAACTTGGCCTCACTTCTTTGGCATCAAGAAGGTCTGCAGTTCTGAGTTTCCTGCTCTGCCTAAGCTCAACGCAGACACACCTGGGCAAGTGTCTCCCCTCACTACTGCTCATGCCACTCAATTGTTCTCAGCCCCCTCTGTGCTTTAGCTCTTTAATGCTGCAGGTAGAAAGGATTGCTCCTTGTCTGTGATATCTTTAAGATTACCTTCTTCAAATTAAAAAAAAAAAAAAATGACTACTTGAGACTAATCTCCCAGTGTAGATTTATTGAGCATAATACATAAATACTATGATTTCTCCTCTTCTAGGTAACTTACCCCAACTACCAAAACCGTCACCGAGGGTTCAGGTCTCCCACCTAGCAATATGGCACATGGATGAAAAAGAAGTCTAAGAGAAAAAAAACCTGCAGTTCCCGGGGGCTCTGGGATGACCTAGTGCTCTTGGTGGAACAAAGGGCCAGGAGTCTGAGCACTCGCAGCTTTTATTGGTATCAATCAGGGAGGTGGATGGGGATAGCGGCAGAGTGCTGGGGAAGAGAAACTTTGCAGGCATGGCTGAAAGGAGAAACACAGCACTCTTACAGCAGGTACAGAAGCCCTCCAATTAGCAGTACAATGGATAGCTTGATGTATGCAAGCCTGCACTTTTACTGCCAGGAAGCTTTTTTTTGGTATCCCATAGCCTCAGCTGAGTTGCTATCTCATGTTGTAGCCCTGGCATCCCACAGGCTCTTGCTGGAGCCTTCATTCCAGCTGCCAGTAGGGGGATAGGGGAGGTACGTTGCTGCTTTGCTATGATGACACTCATCTGTGTCCTGGCTGGCCAGACTCAATCACATTCTTCTGGCCAATTAAGGGAACATCCATTTCTATGTAGCCAGCCCTGCATATCTCAGTCAATAGGGTTGAAGTAAAGGTCAGATAAAGATGGAGGCAAGGGGTTTCACTTCTCAGGGGAACGCAGCTTGGCAGTCTCTCACACCCAACTGAAAGCTCAAGACTGTTCTCTTTTTTGTTTTGTTTTGTTTTGTTTGTTTTTCTTCCAGTACCAGGAATCGAACTTATGATCTCGCAATGGCCAGGCAGGCGCTGTGCCGCTGAGCTAAATCCCCGGCCCCAAGACTGCTCTCTTTCTTACACCCTTTCTTTTTAAAGAGAAAAAGTCCTTCAGTCACAAATTCAAATTTGTAGTGCAGTCTAGAACTATTAATATTTCGTTAAGGCCAAGTTTTGTATAAAAGAGACTAAACTGGGAGCCCCTGGGTTGTCACCACCCATGTGTCACAATGCTTTCTAAAAACATGAGCTAGCATTTAAATTCAGGCATGGATTATAAAAATCAAGATCTACAACTTTCTTAAAAAACATAGGTTACAAACAAGACAGGACTTGATTTTATCCTTGATGAGACGCTACTTTAGTTGCTACCTTTGGACAAGACGTGCTTCCCAGGGGAGTGCAGATGCCATCACTCAATAACTGAGAACCGTTCAGGACCCAAGAACAACCTGGCAAACTTGAAGAGACAGAACTTCAGTGTTTTTAGACAAAAGCTCACAGGATGTAATGACTGCTCTTTCTCTCTTCATAGTACCTCTTCTTTCATCCTCAATTCCTGAGCAAATCCAGAATGAAGTCCTGAGAATTTGAGGTCCTGAGTTGCTCCAAAGAGGCAGGTGGCATGGAGAGTCACAGGATACCTTTTGTATATGTATGTGCATAAAATTACTAGTGTATGAATTGTAGAAAGTAATGGACTACACACACACACACACACACACACACACACACACACACATATATATATATATGTCCCATCTTAGTCATGTCTGTCTTCCCTTCTTCCCCATTCCCAGGCTCCTTCCCCTTTCTTGATAATCCCTCTTCTACTTTCAGGTTAATTTTAAATTTCCACATAAGAGGGAAAACATGAAGCTGGGTATGCCAGTACACACCTGTAATCCAGTACTCCCGGAGGCTGAGGCAAGAGGATCACAAGTTCAAATCCAATCTGGGCAACTTAGCCAGACTCTACCTCAAAATTTTATAAAAGAGAGGCCTGGGGACATAGCACAGTGTAAAGGCCCAGTATACCAGTACAGGAGAGAGAGAGAGACAAACAGACAGACAGAGACACAGTGACAGAGGCAGAAACATAGGGAGACACAGAGACAGAGAGACAGAAAGAGACAGACATAGAGACAGAATGAATGATATACTTTGCAGAGGACCTCCTCAACAGCTCTCCTTGAAAGAACAACATTTGGCCCTGCCTCCCTGTATTGATGCATACACAGCTGGCTAGGACATTTCCTTATCTCCTCAACTGGATTTAAGCAATGCCAATTGGCCTATCCCAAGTGCTGATGTATAGTCTTTGAAGTAACAGGACAGGTCAGTAAGGCTCCGCCTGTAGCTCCCAAGTAGTATGTGTAGGCTAGGCCTAGTGAAGCCACACTGTCTGCTAAGAATGAACCTTGAGAAAAAAAGCTATGAGCCTACCATGGTGGCACACGCCTGTAATCCCAGCACTCAGGAGGCTGAGGCAGGAGGATTGTTGTGAGTACGAGGCCAGCCTGGGCTACAAAGTGAGCTCAAGGCCAGCCTGAACTGCATAGTGAGACCCTGTCTCAAAAAAAAAAGAAAAGGAAAAGAAAAAAATCTATGAGGCTGAAGCAGGAGGATCATTGTGACTTAGAGACCAGCCTATGGTACAAAGTGAGCTCAAGTCCAGCCTGAACTGCATAGCAAGACCCTGTCTCAAAAAGACAAAAAAAAAGAAAAGAAAAGAAGTTATGACTTCTCAGGGCTTCAAAATCACACATCAAACCTGAAGCACTGACCCCCAAATACTACCCCAATCTGTGACATGCAGATTATTCTTTTTGCATCTCTCTCTCTCTCCCTCTCTCTCCCCTTTTCTGCCCTTCTCTCCCCTTCTTTCCCTCTCTTTCTCCATACTGCAGAGATGATTTCAGGCCTTCTACCTAGCCCAGCTCACAGCATTCAAGTACTCTGCACCACTCTCACAGTCACTCATCCCTGCGAGCCACTCCCCTCTTCACAAATTCATAAACCCAGGTTCAGCCTGGGTCAAGGCCTTTGTTCACAGCCATTATTCTAGCTGGACTTAGGACCTCCTTGGCTCCCTACAACTACAAATACGCCTTAGTGTCTTTATTTTCAGCATGCACTGCACTGGAAGTGGTAGAAATTAACTGTAATTAATTTATTGGAATTCCAATAACTTTCCCTGGGATTACAAATACAAACATCCCAGACAATGACAAGGTCCGCAATGGGCATTCTGTAATACTTGTCTTTCTGTGTCTGCCTTATTTCACTTAACAAGATCTCCTGTTGTTCAGTCCATGTTTTGGCAAAGGACATGATTTCATTCATTCTTACGGCTGAATAATACTCCATGGTGTATATATATTTTCTTCATCCATTCATCAGCCCACAGGCACCTAGGCTGATTCCAAATCTTAGCTACTCACAAGATGTCTTGATAGGAGCTGTGAGAGAGCAGAAAGGTGACGGCATTAGAAAAATGGAAGCAGGGAGTGGAGGACAGAAAGACTGAGAGAAGGGGCGATGGGAAAGGGGAGACTTACCAGTGCCTCTTCTTCCAGATGATTAAGCCTACAATGAATACCACGATTAGAAGGCACCCCAGTACTATCCAGATGGTGCTGGAGGAGCGGCTCCCATCTGTTTTGGAAGGGACACGGGATGGTTCTCAGCACATGACCCCTCCCTGTATAAGTCCTTGCTCTATACAGAGGCAAGGAAGACCAAGGCTTCTTATTTCCTCCCCCCTTTAAAGCATCCTCCTCTGCTCTTCATAAGTTTAGATTCCCATCTTTTCTCAGGGTAATGTAGTGCAGAGGTCAAGCCGGATAGCTGGGCACAAATGAGTCTATATCCAGCTCTTTCACTTTCCATATGGCTCTGGGCATCTAACTTAGTTTCAGTTTCTTCACCTGCAAATAAGAATAATTGCATTTGCTTCAAAGGAGACTGGCAATGAATGGTTACATGAAATAATGGAAGCAGCCTGGCCAAGTCCCACATAGGAAGCACTAAATTAAATACAGCTATCTTTATGAATCTGCCTTTCTCAAGTCCCTGGTCCCCTATCTGCTGGAGATTGAATCTTCCTGGGACTCTGTTTGCCACCTACTTCCAGATCTCTGAGTGTTTTGGTCTCCTTTCCTCTTGTATACAGAACAGTTTCTCTCTCAATCTTTTGGGAGTGTCAGGTCTGTTTCCTTCCTGAATGTATCTGGAGTCCCCTCCTTCTAGCCATAATTGAGGGCCACACCTCTGAAACTAGGTGTGTCAACCCCGTTCTTCCCCAGTCCATCTCCCTGTACTTGAGGACCAATACTCTCATTTCCAGCCTGAGCCCCAGTCCTTTCTCACCCCAGTGGAGGACGATGTCCTGCCCTCCCAGACTGCTGTGCTTCACTCGGCAAGACAGCCCAGCGGCCTCCCCAGCCGCCACATCCAGGGTCACTCGGAGATACCATGTGTCATCAGCATTGGGCAGGACGTCCCCTCTCTGAGTTTCAGGCTGATCCTGCTCACCCCGCATCCACATCACCCATACGGGCTTCGGGTAGAAGCCAGAGACGTGGCACTCCAGCTGCAGACGGTCAGATCCAGGGCTGGGTCCCTGGGACAGCCAGGCCTTGGGCTTCACTGTATCCAACAAGGGAATGAGAGATCTTAAAGTGAGTACTGTGCATTAGATGCTCCGGTTCTATCAGGTTCCCACTTTCTACATGTCTACTTCTGGAGAAGAAGTCACCAGGTAGCTCTGGTTCCTTTGCGTCACCTTCTCCAGGTCAGCCTTCCATTTCTCCTTTCCTTTCCTGATCCCAGTGTGCTGTGCCATCCCACCCCTGTACTCTCGGACACCCTGGGCTCTGTCACTGCACACTGTTTCAGACACTCCCTGACTCAATTCTGACTGTATTTATTTAATTCACGGAGTATAAGAGGTAACAGTCAGTGACTGGTGCTGAAATGAATAAACAGCCCCTTGGGTGGAAAAGCCCAGATGAAGCCCAGGTATAGAGCAGAGCGTGAGGCCTGCAAGGCTGACCTTGTTGCTCCAGTTCTGACTTCCCTGCCTCAAGGAGGCCACTGGCAAGCTGAGGACAGGTGTCACTGAGGAGCGACTGCACCATTTCCCTCGTTCCTTGGTCTTTGTTCAGCTCTTCGATGGCCCGATTTAACCAAAGAGGGGCATCTGGAGCTGGTTCCCAGTAAGTTCCCTGGAAACTCACGACATGTGTTCCTTGAAATGCTACATGTAAAAAGCTTTCCGAGGCATTTCCAGGGTATGCCTCGCAGCCAGCAGACAGCTGGAGCTCAAAGGGGTCTGTGGAGAGGAATGCACAGGTATCAGAGGGATGTAAAAGATCGCAAGGGATGAAAGACAAGAAATCATTTATGAGGGTTATAATGGGGAGCCCCTCGAGGGTGGCCTGCAGCAGGCAGGAACACTGAGTACATTCAGGGCTCAGAGATCGGATTTCTCCAAGGAAAAGTGCAAGTCCGATGAGGTGGAGAAAACAGAATCTCATCGGGGGAGGCGGGGGGCGGGGGGAGGCCCCAGTCCTCCAGGCAGCCTTCTGTATCCTCTCTCCCCTTGGATGCCTGCCCAGGGTCCCATCCCTCAACTCACAGACTTTGCTCAGCATGATGGCGAATTCCTGTATGTCCCTGGTGAAGCTGCTTCGGTAAACCCCAAGTATGTGCTGCAAGTCCTCCCACTGCTGGGGGCTGAAGTTGCCCCGGGACCAGGGCTTCAGAAAGTGGATAGAATCCGAGCCATTCCTCCAAGCGTGCGTCTGCAGCTCCCACAGCCATGCCAGGCCGTCCGTGCGTGTCCAAGTGGTGTTGGCAAAGGAGGAGATTTGGAGGCAGCGGAAGGGGAAATTCCTTGGTGACCCTGAGAGACAAAAAAAGGAGCGTAGCCACTGGCCAGGAGTGCAGACACAATAAGGAAAAGGAAGAGAAGTGCCAAACGCGGTAGGTGATCCTGGGAAGAAGAGTGCCGGTGCTCGAGCCGGGGAGCAGAGGGTTTTCTGGTGTATCTGCGCGCGCCACACCGCGTAGCCCGGAGGAGTCCTGTCCCCACCCTCCCGGAAGAGTGACTCCCTTGGCCCAGTCCCCTCTTTCTCTCGGGCGGGTAGCCGGGTGCCCTAATTTCACTCACCCTCAGAGCTTTCCCAAATCTGCGCGAGCCCGTACAGCAGCAGAATCAGACAGTGCCCCATGTCGCGCAAGACTGGAACCCTAAGTTCCCCGCCCCTCAGAGGACAGCGACCTCCGGGCGCCACACACACACACACACACACTCTCTCTCTCTCTCTCTCTCTCTCTCTCTCTCTCTCTCTCTCTCTCTCTCAAATTTCCGTCGCCATTGGCCAAGTCGCCTGCCACCTCCCAGCCCCAACACTAGCTGCGCCCCTGCTCCAGCTGGTGGGTGGGTTGCTCTTTTGCCGGGCTGTGTCCTCCTGCAAAGAATCGGGGTACAGATCTCAGGAGCTCGGGTCAGTAGTTCCCCAAACAGCTTCCCTGATCTTTCTGTTTCCACGAAGATAAAGTTGAGCAGATAGTGAGTGAGACTTTTATAGTGTTTTTAAAGCACAGCACAAATAAAGTTGCATCTATGTTACAACTCTGACCTATTAAAACTGCAAAGGAAGATCCTGGGATGTAGCTCAGTGGCAAAGTTCTTCATCAGCCTGAGGGAGGCCGGGGGTTAGCAGTGGCTGTATCCAGGTGGAAACACCACAGGTGATTTTAATTTGCTTTTACACTGTTCCGTCTTACAAAATGACAAGTACAAGCATCGCAGTTATGATACACTAAAAACATTAAAAGGCATTTTCTCACGGGCATCTTGAGAGGACCTGCACCGGGTTAGCTAAGATTCTTTACAACATTCATAGCCCAAGATTCCTCCACCTCAGGTTCCCCAGCCTCCTGGTGCTGGGAACCCTCACCCTGCCTCTTCTGTCCCTGATTCTGTTTTCAGAGGAGTTCAAGAATATCTCCTTTTACTGTAGTTCATTTTATTGTGCTTTGCAGATACTGATAGAGGAGGCAGTTAGACATGAGCTGGAGCTGGGAGAAAGGTAACTAAGCCCATACAGGAAACCCTGCAACAGGAAGTGGTCTAAGCTCCGTGAGCCTGAGGTCTCACAAATTCCAGAGACAGGCTCATCTGCCCCTTTCAGGTACCCTACCTGCACACTTTTAAGAATCTGAAACCAAGGCATGTGCACCTAGAGGGCTCAAGCCCCAGACTGACCTCATTACACCCCATCTAACCCAGCTAGGCCTCATGTACAAACATGTGAATTTCAGTTTTGACCTCTCAGTGGGCCGCCACCACCTCTTCGTTCTGCACAAAGTCATACAAATTCAAAACTTGCTCCTCCTGAGGGAGAGGTGGAGTCTTATGATTGATCAGAAGCCACAGCCGCACACCCCTAGCCCCACACTGTAGGGAAACAAAGAGAAATCAACCCATCCTTGGGGCACTCAACCTTTCCCCAAGCTGCCCACCCGGTCTTTCTCGGGAATATACTCTCCACTTTGCTTAAGAACGTATTATGCTTGACACCTAATCAACTGATTTGAGTTCCTTTCTGTAGGCCTCCCCACAAATCTTACCCGGAAGGATCCTACACAGTGCAGACAACACACATCAACTCAGCCCAGAAATCCAACAACAACGCCCTGGACTAGTTCTTGTGTTAATATCACAGCTTGTGGTTCACACTGTCTGCACACAACAAAAATGCTGCATACTCAAACCAGTGCGTATCACAGGCCTACAGTTATCATTTCTTCAGGATCTTCTTATTTACTTATCTTTATTATATCCAAGGCCCATACAAGTTTTCTCATCACTTCCCAGGGCCACTGGGAAAGGGTTTTCTTATTCTTTTTATAGTTTTTGTGCCTATTAGAGGATTCGACTTTATAAAGGGAAACTCTTGCAAAATGTCACTCCTTTCTGTGCAGAAGCTGTCCCTTGTATGTGTGTGTGTTTTAGAAAGCAGTACCTCATACTGAGGTAAAGCCAGAACTCTGTTGGCTCACTTTTGCTACTCTGGTTTTCATATTTCCCTGTTATAGACAGGCACTTTTCATGTTAGCTGGGGTTTTTGTTTCTTCTGTTTTGTTTTGTTTTGTTTTGTTTTTTGTTTGAGACAAGATCTTGTCTATAGTTCAGGCTGGCCTTGAACTCTATGTAGCCCAAGCTGGCCTCAAACTCTGCCCACAATCCTCCTGCCTCAGCCTCCCGAGTGCTGGGATTACACGCATGCTCCACGTACTACTTTAAATCTTAAATCTTTAAGTCTCACTGTAGTCTGCATTTTGAAGTCTTTGAAGAATGCTCTGGGCTGGGTGGGCAGTTCCTGATATCTTACTCAATCTTGTTGCCAGAAATTGTCCACTGTAATGTTTGGAGTTGCACTGCCCTGAGCAACTTAACTGAAAGCACTTAGAATTATATCCTGTCTAGAAGACGTGCTTCAGAATAAGAAAAAGTCTGAAATAATCAAAATGAGGAAAACTTTAAAGGACTGCAAGCATCTAGGCAGAGACTGAAGGTTTGTCATAAAGAAACTGGAACTCACTCCCTTGTCAGTTGCACCAGCAACTGGCATATGTGGTACAGGGTGTGAAAGTTACCAGATTTCAGCCCAACATAGATTTCTTCAAACCGTACCTCTGTTAGAACTGTACAGTAAGAGATGGTCTAATTTTTTATGAACTCTGCTAATAGGCATGTCTCTATTGGACCCAGATGACCATCTTCCAGATGTGATACTGAAGAGATTACTACATGGAATGGGGTCTTCCAATTTTCTTTTTATTAGTAAACGTTTGCAGTACATAATGATTGCAGTCATTGTGAGAGTTGGTACATATACACAACACATCTTAATTCTTCATTCTTTGATAATGGGATTTTTGTGACAAAGTTCTGATCTCATGGGGATCACCGATCATGGTCAGTGACTCAAACAGCCTGGAAATCTACACGTATAGATTAGACACACTGGGATGGGGAACAATATATTAACTACCAGTGAAATGAAGTTGTAGAGTAGCCAAAAGATGGAGGGATACACATCTTCATGGTCCCTTTTTCAGAATCTCCAACTTCGCTTTCAGAGAGGAGAAGCACCTGCCATTGTACATCTTGTCTTTTTCCCCCTCCATGACCCATACTTTATAAAGCAAATGCCTTTCAAGAATAACACCATGTGAGAGGCGCCTAGCTCTACATGCCAGCGGTTTATTTTTTTTACCACATTGCCTTATCTCTTAAGAGTTTTCATCCCTCTTGTTTACTTCTTTCAACCACACTGCCCCCTCCTCTTCCTTCCTGCCTTCCTCTTCCTACTCCCTCCTCCGTCCTCCCATTTATCTTTTTCCTGTCTCTTTATAGCTCTCCTACATCTATATTCTGGTCCAGCCAACTCACCACACTCCTGCCTCCCTCTCTAACGTTCTTTCATCATCTTCCCCCTTCCTTCACTGTCTCATCCCTCCTTTATGGTGTATATGTAGATGTCTCTCAAAAACCTCAGGCACTCACAGGCAGGGCATTTAGAAGGTGACTGTGTCACCAGCTCCCTCCCCCTGGGTTCCTGTCCTGAGGGTGACAGAGACTCACTGGACAGAACACCAAGCAGTGAGCAACACTGCTGGTGCCAGGAGTGGCTTATTAGAAGGAACAAAGAAAAGCCCTTGCTAGACATGGAGAGCAAGAAGGGCACCAAAGAAGCACCTGAATCTGGACGCTTATATGTAGGTTTTTGGTGTGAACAGAGGGCCAGAGGATGTGCAGAAATGCGCATTTGCCACTGCTTGCCAGACTTCTTGTCATCAGTGGATTCCGTGAGCTTTTCGTCCTTGGCACTCCAATTTCCCTGGAGGCTTATCCCACCTTGTCCTTAGTTTTCTCAGGCCCTTGCACTTTGTACCTTCATCCCCTGGTCTCATCTGGATGATGGGGGCTTATAGCTGACTTGCTGCAGGAGATGGGGTCGGGTCGGAAGAGGCAGTGCACTGGGGGTGTGGTCTGGAAGGGTTTCTCTCCCTCCCAGCTCCTCCTTTCCTCTTCTGTCCCTCTGCTTCCTGTCTGCCATGAGGTGAGCCTTGCCTGTGCCATGCTGTCTTGGCTTAGAGCCAGCCAACTACGGGCTGCAATGTGAGCCAAAATAAATCTCTGCTCCTTTAGGCTGTGGGTGTCAGATATGCTATCCTGCCAAGGAGGGAAGCACCGAAGACACTCCCTTCTGCTCCAGCTTCTGCCTACAGCGCTATCCATATCCCAAATGGAAAGGCAGCTATATTACTATAGGAGCTGGAAGTCCTGCCCGGTGATGTAGAGACTGAGATCTCATGACAGAGTCCTGGCCCTGAATCCTTGGTCCAGTTCCTGTTTCACCCACAGCCTATAACCACAGTGTCAAAGAAGGTGAAATGTCAACCAAGGTTCAGATCAGTGCACAAAACTTGAGTGGAGGGAAGTGAACCTGCCTCTTAATGTAATGCTTTTATTTCATAACCAGTCTGTGCATGTCAGCACTGTGCTAAGTACTTTACATTCATTTTTTCACTTTGGATTCTCACAGTAGTTTGTAAGTTAGGTAACATTATTGGCCACTTTTTGCAAATGAGAAAACCAACTCTTAGAAATACAAAGTTAGAGGGTGGTAGCAAGGGAATTTCTTAGCTGCTAGACAACACAGCCTCCCACCAGGGGAAGGGACTATGGGGAAGAAATCACAGCTCCTTTGTCCCAACCTGTGGGGTGCTTGGAGCAGGAAGGGTTGAAAATACTGATGTGAGGCCACATATCTATATAAACAATAATGCCACAGTTTTGATTTTCAAGATACTAACAGGTATGAGGCAAGAAGTCTGATTAGTCTTCCTCAGAGTGCTTCCAAAGTGAAGACCCTCTGCACTATACAGCTTAAGAAGAAGAATAAAAGAACAAGCTTCTTTGCTTTATGGAGAACTCATTTCATCTCTCAAGCCTCAGGTTCCTTCTTTATGAAATTTCACTATTAGGTTTATGTAGATTAATTTGTGTAAGTCACCTGACACATAGCAGATATTCAGCATCTTTTTGTGTGTGTGTGTGTGTGTGTGTCTTTTTGTGACAGGGCCTCGCTATGCAGTTCACACTGGTCTTGAACTCACTTTGTAGACCAGGCTGGCCTCACAATGATCCTCCTGCCTCAGCCTCCTAAGTGATGGGATTACGACATGCAGATACTCAGTATCTTTTAGTTGACCTTAACCCGAGCCTATCTATTCCCATCCCA